AACTTTCACAAAAAAAAAAAAAGATTGTGTTACAAAAATTTCGAATGTATCTTTCGGTTCCAATAGCGAAAGCCGTGAGCGATTATCCAACTCAAAAGTCAAAACTTTCATGCATAGGTTCTATCACAGGTTTTCATTTTAATAATACTCACTCATTTTTCTTTACCTCGTTTCGCCTTTTTGCTTTTCACAATAAAATATAGTTTAATAAAGTTTTCGATTGGATATATTATTTAAAAAAAAATACTTAATTGAAAAAAGTGAGGTACAGAGTAAAAAATATTTATTATTGAGAAAGAATGAAATAATTTTAAAATTAATGTTGCATATGAGATAAAATTTAATAATCGAATTCATAGTAAAATAAAGTGAAAAATATTTCAGTAGATATAAACTATTTTTAAAAGATTACTAGATTGAAAAAAAGCAAGGTAGAGAATGAAAAATACCTTTTTTGTGTGTGGGAATGAAGTAGTTTTTAGATTGTGATAAAATGTAATTATTAGAATTGATAGGATAGAAAAATAGTAATATAATACGGAAGTGAATAAATAGTAAATTTTTTGATAAATATATGCTAATAATTGATTTATTATTTAACTGTATTGACATCATTGAGGAGAAAATATATGAATTAGATGAATATTATTTTTAAAAAAAATTATATCTATTGTAATTCCTTCCTATCAATTAAAAGAAATATCCAATCGCTTCTTTTCAAAACCGAGAAAATTACCCAAAAAAAAAAGAAAAGAAAAAAGGGAAAATATTGATGAGCTCTTATTTTGTTTCACAGGCTGCTCAATAGTCCTTATGCCCACGAGGGTACTACAAATGTTGGAGCTCCATTCCAAGCAACGTCATCAGCCCACATTGCCTGGTGGTGGGCCCCAAGCCCACGCGTGGCCCAAATTAGGTGATTTTTTCTTGCCATTTGCTTTCTCATAATAAATAATAATAAATAAGAAGAAAAAAAAAAAAAAAGATATTTTGTCTGCTGTGTAAATATACACTTTTTGAATCTTGAATCTTCGTCCCCAAATGGTCCCATCATACCCTTAAATGCAGTTGAGTCACGTACAAGCTGGCTACTGTTCTTCAAAACCAATAATTGGCATTTTGTGGGGGCAACTATGCAAATCCCCTCAAGTTTTGTGGTACCTATATATAACAAGAAATGAGATATATCTATTTTAGTTTTTTTTTTTACATATATACTCAAAATATTATTTCTTTTCAATTTTATTTTATTAAAGATTGAAGCATAATTATATTACCATATTAGTTAAAAATATGCATCTTATTATTGATTTCTACCTCTTGATTTTCTTGACACACACACACACACACATATATGTATATATATTACCTTTTTTAAATGGATATTCATTCATTTATTTTTTAAAATAAGAACTCAGCAAAAATTAAATTATTAATCATTTTTTTATAAATACTATATCAAATTAAATTCTTTTAGTGATTTTTCATTTCAATATTTCATAGATAAAATGATTTTCCTTGAAGTAAAATAAGTTAATGTTTATATATTCGTACGTATTTAGAAATTCACTGAGTTCATTAATTAGTCATTGAATATTTTTAATTAAAATGATGAAACTTTGTAAATTTTAGAACAATACTAATATCTCATATTTTTCATATTATATATCTATATTACACACTCACTAGTTGTTCAATTCAAACATTGGTTGCTTTAGCTTTTAGCAATAAAAAATTCCAACAAATCAAATTTAAATATCTTGAGATATTTTGTATTGTTCTAATACCTGCTAATAAATGACTGGTCTTAATCTTGTGAGAAATTTGAAAAGGACACCCACCAATTTGGTGGTTATCATGTCTCACTCTTAGATCCACATAAAATTATTTCTGAACCTTTTTTTTTTTTTTGTGTGTGTGTGTATGTGTGTGTTTTTTTAGTAGTTATAAGGTAATGAATAATGATAAATAGACATTATAGGTACTCATTTTATTTGTCTTCAATCATCAACAAAATATTAATTAAGCAAGCATGTGCCAGGTGAGTCCAACACATCAAAGGGGCTTTCACAGCCGGAAAAAGGGCCTTCAAATGGCGACGAAATACAACTACCGCAAGAATGGACTTACTAAGGCCCATGGGCCATGACTCTATGCATAATGTATGTCAAGAAAAAAATAAATTATGATCATAATAATAATAATACTAAAAGAATGCACAAGTCAGCAAAATAAAAAATAAATTGGATAAAATAAGTAGGCATTGGAATTTGGAAATAAACCTGATTTGCATTGACCTTGGACTGGTGCAAGTTGTGTGCAAATGGGGTCAATTTTTAGGTGTTGAATAAGATTTTGTGAAGGGTTTTTGTTAAATTTGTGCATATGTAGTGAAGTATTTGTTATTGGCCAAGTGTTTGCATCGAATTTGACATTTATGGAGATTTTGTTGGTTTAGTTTGGTGAGCAAATAGATATTTCACTTGCTATTTGTGTGTTAGTTAAACTAATGGTTGACTGAATTACCAGGTTTGTCTAGTTATTAATTAGATTAGTTGATTTTGTAAAAGTGTGCTAAATAACTAAAATCGGGTAGTTCATATAGAACTCCCAAAAATTAGTTTATTGCTGAAAACGAATAGTTTTTTGGGGATAAGAAATTTTGGGGTAAGAAAGTTAAACCAAACAATAAAATTAAGAATTCCTCTAATTCACTCTCCAACATATGATACAATTGCATGCAAGCAAAAATAACACTAAGTTCGTCTATTACCAAATGAGTACCAAACAAGACTAAACTGCTCGCTACAACTCCAAATAAGTACCAACTAAGAACAAGACTATTTATTGGATGAAATATTGAATTTGTATTCAAATCGTATTTAAAATGTAATGAGTGGAGTTTAGTAAAAATAAGAAAGAGGTGATTGGAATTGATAAGTAGTTAAAAAATATGTATATTGATAAATATTGAATTAAAGTTGATGTGATATAAATATATATATTGGTGAATATTGAATTACAGTTGATGTGAGATGTGAATGATAATTGATCTAGTGAGTATAATGATTGATACTATTTATTTATTTTCATAATATCCACCCTAATTTTCCAATTGCATGCAACCAAAAGTAAATACCAAATAAGTACCAAACAAGACTAAATTGTACGCTCCAAATGCATTCAAACAAAAGTACCATTTACCAAAGAAGACTCTCGCTGTGAATTACATTACTATAAACTTCATAATTTATTTTTTTTTATTTAATAATAAACTTGAATTTTTCACGTACACAAATATGTCCAGAATCACTTTTTTCAAATAAACTTGGTTTTTTCACGCACATTTATATCGGCCAAAATTTAGAAAATATGGGCATAATCACATGTAAAGGACCTACACTTTCTGCTTTCCTAGAACGTTACACATTTGTGATATTCAAAAGAGAATTGATAAACTAAAAACACAGAAGTATCCTTTGAAACTGGCACATTAATAGCAATACTTCTTGAAGACGACCCAACAATCGAAAGCACACGAACCCAATAAACTCGAAAATATAGAGATAAAATATTCTACCAAAATTCACGTGCACACATTCAACCAAACTTTTCANACGGTCGATCTGAAAAAGATATCGTCATAGATAAGTTAAATCTTCAATCAGAATATTACATTTGTTAAATATTCTCCTAACACCTTGACTTGCTCAAGGTATAGCTAAAATAAGACCAATAGGTAACATGTGAAGGAATATAAAATAGAAATACCAGCACAATGAGCTTCTGCAGTCTGCACTATACTCCTGACTGTGAAAAATAAAATAAATTATGAAAGAAAAAAAAAAGAGACCTTAAATGATCTGATGGAATAATGAAATGTAAAGTGATTGTTCAAACAGATAAATTTTATTTAGATTAGAAATGTTAGCAGAAAATCACTTACAAAGTTAAAGTTAAATTTGTTCCAAGATTTTCATGTATGCAGATAGTTAGCCGCCATCATGAGCTCCAAAGTCAGCTCAGGCTCAATGTGGAACTCGGTTTCTTTGCCGCTACAGAAGGGCAAAATGGGAAATACAGTTACTTTATTTAAACGAAAAATTCAGAAGAAACCAAAAATTACAATTCTACCAACTGTTAATAATTATTCCTATAATCATGATAATTGAGTAATAAAAATATCTTGCCGACAAAATATTTTGGTTTACCTCTATAACTACTGACTGAAAAAACTGATTTTATATCAGTACAAAGACACATCCTACTTTTTTTTTATAAAAAACTGATTTATAAAAAACTGATTTTATATCAGTACTGACTGATAAAACTGTTTGATGAAAATATGACAAATACTACTTTTTTTTTTCTCTCAATGTGAAAGATACACTGAACAAAAAAGAAAGAAATTTCCTGTGTCAACCCTTTATACAGTTTCATTAACTATAGACTAACTAATATCTTTTCCTTAAACAGTACATCAAATCTTTTGGTTATATGTACATAAGAAGCATATTAGTCTCTCTCTCTCTCTCTCTCTCTCTCTCTCTCTCTCTCTCTCTCTCTCTCTCTCTCTCTCTCTCTCTCTCTCTCTCTCTCTCTCTCTCTCTCTCTCTCTCTCTCTCTCTCTCTCTCTCTCTCTCTCTCTCTCTCTCTCTCTCTCTCTCTCTCTCTCTCTCTCTCTCTCTCTCTCTCTCTCTCTCTCTCTCTCTCTCTCTCTCTCTCTCTCTCTCTCTCTCTCTCTCTCTCTCTCTCTCTCTCTCTCTCTCTCTCTCTCTCTCTCTCTCTCTCTCTCTCTCTCTCTCTCTCTCTCTCTCTCTCTCTCTCTCTCTCTCTCTCTCTCTCTCTCTCTCTCTCTCTCTCTCTCTCTCTCTCTCTCTCTCTCTCTCTCTCTCTCTCTCTCTCTCTCTCTCTCTCTCTCTCTCTCTCTCTCTCTCTCTCTCTCTCTCTCTCTCTCTCTCTCTCTCTCTCTCTCTCTCTCTCTCTCTCTCTCTCTCTCTCTCTCTCTCTCTCTCTCTCTCTCTCTCTCTCTCTCTCTCTCTCTCTCTCTCTCTCTCTCTCTCTCTCTCTCTCTCTCTCTCTCTCTCTCTCTCTCTCTCTCTCTCTTGAGAATCTTATCAATGTCGAATGAAAATTGACAGCTAGTACACATGATATCCACAAAAGACCCACAAAAGACTAGGAATTCTGGATTTGAAAAATTAATCCAAAATCATAAAAGAAAAGATTCAATCTCAAATGAAATCACAAACAAGCAAATGATTGATATCTTTATGTCTTATTGTCCATGAACCGATCCGTAACTCTATCCAAAATCATACAAGAAATCACAAACAAGCAAATTATTAATATCTTTATGTCATACTGACTATGAACCAATCCATATTTATATATATATATCAATTTTGTTCCACTAAAAGATAACTTTTCCCCAGACTGTCATTGGATATAAAAATTTCCTGAAAAACAGTATTCACCAATTCTCAATTATTCTCCTTTTAATCTTTCACTAAAACATTTTCAAAAAATATAATTATTACACCACACCTTTCGGAAAAAAGACATTATTTATCCCGGTCATAAACTACCAATCATTTATCAATTTTTATCATTTTTATCCAACATCGACTTTAATCACAGCATTTCCATCTTATATTATATCAATTCACTCTCTAAAAACTTAATTATTATTTCCCCATTTTTTTTTGTCATCACTGTTCTCTAGTTAAATAATTTTTCAAAATAAAAGCATGTACAATTGCACCTTAACTTTTGGGATCTTGATTGATTGCCCCAATTGACTTAAAGGCACTTTCCTCCTTATTCCTTTATTTCTCACCGACTTTCTTAATTTTAACTGTTTACAATAAATATACGACTCCAAGTAGAAATTTGATATGCAGTAATGTTATTTCAATTGTGCAACTTAGGCTATGTTTGGTAAACCTAACTGATAGGCTAGCTTATAGCTTTTAAGTGAATTTCGAGCTTATAACTGAGAGCTTATGACTTATGGCTGAAAAACTAGCTTATATGATAAAAGTGTTTGGTGAATTAGCTGATAAGCTAGCTGAAATAAAAATTTAAATGAGTTTATTTGCAAAGCTAGCCAAAGAAGCTTATGAGATAAGCTCAAGCTTTTTAAAAAATCTCGTCCTACCAAACTAAACTTATTTGAATACAGGAAGCTTATAAGCTTCAAATAAGCTATAAGTTAGCTTATATGCTTACCAAACACAACTTTAGTCCTTGCATCACAATGTGGATAACCATGCGACCGAGATTATAAAATGGGCATCGCAAATTACAAGGCATCATGTTTTTGGCTGTGTTTATATATCAATAGGTTAGAAGAAGAAAATCGTGTTCGTATTCCGTAGGCTTGTAATAGAATTTTTCCATAGTAGTTGCTGACACAAATAGACATAGAAACAGAACGTGAAAAATATGAAGCGAAAATAGATCTAGATTAATGTCCGGTGCTTAGTTTTTATTTTATAACTGATAACCATAGAGAATCATTTATTTTTCTTTTTGCTCCTCTTTTACATTATCTATATTAATTGTTAATTATACAAACACACACACACACACACAACACTACGGTCGGCACTTGGCAGTACAAGATCTGTTGCAATGATTACAATTGTAATATTTTTAGCTGTGTGGCATGTTAACCTTGCTTATTAATCGACCTAGTTACTATTCCTTTATTGTTGATCGCAATAAACCTCCTGTCACGTTATCTAGCTTTTCCGTAATTCGTCACTGCTTCTAAACATGCACAAACGCATATATATAATCAATATTCAATGAAGACTCGTTATAGCACATAAACATCTCATATGCACTTCCTTATTCAACTCAAAAGAAGAAATGAAAGAAGTAATCTACGACGAATAAATTGTCATCATAACTGTCTGAGTACCACTCGACAGTGTCAAGCTATTCATAACATCCCTCTTTCCTGATACCTATAAGAATCACGCTATCAAATTATAAACTTAACTAAAATTGCATAAAAGAAGAAGCATCGGCAAAAACACCAGAAGAAAGAAAACACATTCCAAATCAGAAGCTAGCACGATTCTCAGACGACACCAGAAACAACATTGTTAATGCTAATAACCGATGACAACCAACCTTCAATTCTTGAATTTTCTTTAAAAAAAAAAAAGAAAAGAAAAGAAAAACAGACATAAATAAGAGGGAGAAAACAAACCTAGCATACTGAAGAGACCAGTAAAAGTACTGGCAAATCTTCTCAAGAATAACCGTGCTTATCTCTGGAAACGTCACTTCCCCGTGCTCGGCTTCAGCAAAACCACCTGAAAAATGAAAATACATAAACTTTCCACAAAATAGGTCAATGATAAAAGAACAATAAATGAGTGAAATCCCTGAACAAGTTTCAATTTTTCTTAAAACCCCTAATTACTGGAACCTTTTTGCAGCTAAATCATCTTCAAACTAGCTAAAGGCCACAACTTTGAACGAGATTTTCGAATTTCCGTCAGTAACCATCCCAAGTTTTCTTAAAACCAAATATCCTTAGACTCTCGAGTAGATCAATTACAATCAATCGTACCTAACTGACATTGAAGGACCGAAAAACGAGAAGTTGTTGAGGTTTTAAGGATTAGCTTAGATATCATTCGTTCGATTCTGAATTTTCATAAAAAAACAATTCACCTGGTGATGTGAGCATGTTGCGGATGGTCTGAGAAACCATGGCAGCTCTTTTGTCGACGATGAATTCGAAGCCTTCGGCACTTATCAGTTTCACAGTCTCGGCCTTCTTCATCCTCACGATCAACAAGCGACCAGAGAAGTAGAGACTATAAATTAAACGGATTTTTGGCAAAGAGATATATATATATTTATCAGTATTTATTTATCAATATTTATTACTGGGAAGTTCATTTGCTGTTTTGACCCTACACATATTTGATGTTGCAGTTCGAACCCCGTGGTTTCTATTTTTTCCAATTTTGGTCCTCTCATGCTTTCACTCTATGCAAACTTGTCCTACAAGTTTCCAATTGTTACAAACTTGGCCCATTTGATGAGTTAGATCAACATTTTCACGGACATTCATTCATCACCGGTTAAAAAGTACATTATTCATCAATCTCTCATTTTTAGTATAATTTGCAAATTTTTATGCACTCCTATATTTATCAGTCCTTATTTTACTATTTTTCTATCACTTCACAATTAATTGTTATTATTCTTTGTATATTTATCAATCCTTATTTTACTATTTTTCTATCACTTCATAATTAATTGTTATTTCTATATCTATATATATAAAGAATCATCATATTTACTAAAATTAGTAGCAAGAAAAGTCAAAGGACAATTAATGCATTCAATTTCCATCAATTTTTCAATTGTACTAGTTTTACCCCGTGCATTTGCATAAAAAGCGATATAATAAAAGAAAAAGTAATTAAAAATATAAAATAAAATAAAAATCATACAGGAAAAAAACTAATTTAAATATTACTAAGCACTTCTTTATATGCAACAGTCGTGGTTTTCCTATCGTCAGGCTCTCCATCACAACAAATCATTATCCTTAAAGTTCTTCGACTCGTGCCTCTGGAATTTGATTTTTCAAAATATTTGTATCTTTGTAATATCTCAAAAAATATTTTTTATTATTGTATGAAAACAATAGAAAATGGAGATATTTGTAGTTATTCTTAATTAATGTGAATTATATTTTTATATGATACCAAAAATATATAGTATCAATATAAAAATAAAAATATTTTGTATTTCAGGACATGAAAAAACATTACACAAATGGGCATCATCCAAATGGGATCTGTCAAAATAAATTGTGTAACTGAAATTTACATATTATTATTAAATGGTGAACATATTTTTATTAAATGAACACCTATTTTTATTAAATGACCTCATATTATTATTAAATGCTGGCTGAATAAAATTTAGAAGCTTGCCAGCAATTATATATATATATATATATATAGATTATTATTTTATTGCTAAAAACAGGTTTGCATTAATTTATCCTTAAATAATGTGTTTTGCAATAAAATCGGACAAATAGACTTCAAGTATAAACATGTCTCATTTAAAATTTAAATTTAAATATTAAAATTTCTTATCATTTTTTTACATTAAAATCCTGAATGAATTGTTTTCCATAAAATCGGACAAAATAATAATTGCATAGAATTCAAGTAAAAACATGTCTCATTTAAAATTTAAATTTTAAAATTCCTTAACATATTGTTAATTTCCGAATGATTTGTTTCCCGTAACATCGGACGGAATTAATAATTGCATAGACTTCAATTATGATTTCGAATTTATATAAAGGATGTTTAATAATTGCATAGAATTTCAAAGATGTTTATTTATTATAAAAGAACTAGTATTCGACCCTGTGCATTTGCAAAGTGTAAATAGAATATTATAACTTACATTTATGCATATAGTATTACAATTATAAGTTATACAATGATATTATATTTTAAACATAGAGTATTATAAGTTATATTTATGAATATAATAATAAAAATATAAATTAGATAATGATATTATGTTTTAAAATTTGATCATTGGTTAAAATAAATAGTACATAACTATTTGATTGCATATGAACCACTATATTATTTACATAAAATATAATAAATAATGTAATTTTGAGAGATCGCCAATTTATTAGATTAAAAATATTAAATTTATTATAACATTTGATAATGCGGTTAGGAATTTTACTATAATATTAAAATATATTAACTTATTTAAAAATACAATCTCTAAATAAGATAAAAAAAACATAATATTAATTTTAGAATAATTAACTTCAGCAAAAAGTTTACGATAATTTTTTAGGTATATGTAACTTTCATATATCATTTAGTGTAAACTATAGTTATTAGTTTTAATAATAACTATTATATGATATGATAAAATAGTATAATTATTACTCTGTTAATATAAAATGTAACTGTTTTTGTCTTAATTAACCCTAAAAAAAGTGCAATGAAATATTTTAGATTTAATTAGATATGGTGGATTAATAATAATAATAATAATAATAAGAGATTGTAACATAAAAAGATAGTAAACAATAATTAATATTATTAAATTTATTGTTAGTAATTAAATATAGAGAGAGAGAGATATAAATGATAAAGTTTGTAACGGTTTTTGGAGGGAAATCAAAACGAGGTCTTATTAAATACTTTTTTAAATGCTATTAGCCAACAATTATATAGATATATAGATTAAATTCTAAAAAATATTTGTGTATATTTTGTAAAATATTTGTACAAAATATTTTACTTAAAATTTATTTACATAATTTAACTTAATTACATTAATAAATAATATGAACATACATTAAATATTTTAATTACATAAAACAAAAGAAGAAAGACAACATTTATAACTTGTATAAATAATAATAAGGACATTATATTACAATAAATTTTATAATAAAATAATATGAGTATTATACGAGGAACAAGATTACGTAAATTGTTATTTTTCTTATATCAAGGAATAAATATATATAATGAAATCAAATTTATATTATTATAAACATGTGAGCGAGATAATATATTAATTAATTTACGGGCTAGCACTACCAGACTCTGGTTTAAACCCGACAAAAAAAATGACGTTGATGAAAAGATATAAAAAGATAGATGATCAAACTCTGTTATTTTTAGGTCTGAACAGACAAGTTCTATGGTTCACTCATTCAATATCTCTCCGTGAATCGCACGAGCTACTTAATGGACAAGCTCTGGGACAAGTTCTGTGGAAATTACTCATTTAATACTTCTGTCCAGTGCATCGCAGGACTACGTACTAGTTATTCTTTATATCGTATCACACAATTAATTCAATTATTAACTTTCTTTCACCAACCAAAATATTTTTACGTCCAACAACAATGTGACGTCTTTCTTAGTTATGATTCCAATCTTTCATAGTTAAGGAAGACATTGAACCTACGAATAAAACTATGAATTAGTTTAGTTGGTTCTCTAAACTCTCACTTCTGAAATGAACTTCATTGCTTCAGCCTTCGAAAAAGTGCATGTAACTTAAAAAATAAAAACTGTTCCCATCTCCAAAAGAACTTCCAAGTTTACTCCATTTTTAAAATTCCAGTGAAAATTTGTGCTTTCACTGTGCTGACAGCACAATTGTTGATGGAATATTTGTATGCACCTTGAGGTCCTTGACACATAACAAAATAAACAGATAAAAAACACAACTTAAGCGAACACCATAATGTACTGATAAAAAAAAAGCTCCACTAAACCATTTCCAAAGAGAATCCAAAAGCTAAAAACACATCACCCACCCAGCAAGATGCATATAAGTAAAGCCTGCTAAAATGTCAAACTAATAACATAATATATTAATTAACATACTCTTAAAAATACAGNCAACCAACAACCGCGAAATGTACATGAACAGAAAAAACACATCACCTAAACTTGGGCCGCTTGGCAGCCGCAGCAGAGCTTCCCGGCCCAGCCCGGCCTTTTCCGGCGGCCTTCATCTTCCTCCTCCTCCTCTCGTCCTCACTATCCGACTCATTCCCTTTCTCCCTATCAGCATTGCTAGCCTCCCTCTCCAGCTCCTCCCACGTCTTCCCTTGCTCATCCTCCTCCGAATCCTCTTCCTCCTCGTCATCCTCCGACTCCACCAGCGACTCGCTATCCGAATCATCATCCTCCGATTCCGACTCCGGCTCCGCATCCGACGGCTCGTATCCCTGGTCCGACTCCACCGAGTGGTCCGACTCCGAGTCAGTCGCCTCCAGATTGAGAAACTCCCATCCACCTTCCTCGATAAACTGCTGCGGATCGTCCGTGATCGTTTTCAATATCGGGCGCCAATTCAAGTTGAGCCGACTCTCGTAATATTTGATATCGGTGGTGTCGAGCCACTCCTTGATACCGTCGAGCGAAGTCGACGGTATAGAGTCGATCCTCATCACGTCCCGTTTGAAGTCCTTGAACACGATGGCCATGTCGAAATTCTTCTGCGCGAGGCCCACGCGCTCCAAGTTGACAATCTCGATGTCGGCGAGCGACACGACAAGAAAGGGGGTCTCGACGAGCTCGACGAGACAGCTGGAGGTCGGGACGATGAATGCCGAGGCCTTGTACGGAACTCCATGGAAGCCGAGCTCGCGAAGCGGCTGGTCAAACTCGAGGTCAAGGCCCTTGAACTGGGCCTGTCCCCAGAGATCATTGACCCGATTCGCGAAATGCTGGAAATCGGTGTTGATTTTGTTCTTCCGGTCGCGCTCTCTCTGCTCTTCTTCGATCTCGTCTGGATCGTAAGCCGAGCGTTTGCTGCCTCCGATGTTCTGAACCATCTCCATCACCTCGACGTAGAATTGCACGTCTTTCGTCTTTTTATTGCCGACCATGATGTGGTTGTGGAGGTGGAAGTGGACGAGCGTGATCATTTCCTTCTCGGCCGGCTGGAAGAACGCGTGCTTAATGTTGCCGTACATGATGTCGACGCGCTCGTCGGCCCTCGAAGTTGAGAATCGGAACCCGTTCGCGTGGGCCTCGAGAGTGCCGGTAAGCTTGCGGGCCCGGCCGCCGAACGCCGGCCGTATCCAGAGGTCGTGAAGACGGATAGGCTTGAACCGGTTGCCCGAGAGGACGAGTTTCTCTTGAGTCACCAAAGTAGCACGTTCGGCGCGTTCGGATTCACGGGCCATCACGTTGCGCCTTAACGTCTTTATCAGCTGCACGACCTCGCTGATGTGGCGCGAGTCTTTCGACCGGAAGGAGACTTCCTTGAGGTACACGGCGCCTTGGTTTTTAAGCGAATTAGCGTCGTGCGGGCTGAAGGGTGTGCCGGGGACATTGAATATTATCCGCACGTAACAGTTACGGTTAGTGTCCTGTTGGCTCGAGACAGTCTTCACAGTGGCGACATGGAACGGGACCATACAACCGTAGATCGGGAGGAGAATGGCCTCGTTCTTCTGGTCTACCTGAATCATCATCTCTCTCGGGGGAGGTAACTCGTTCACATTCTTGTAAGCGATAAGGTCGTTTGAAGACCGAACGGCCGCACGGCCATCCCCAGCGCCCGACTCCACGCCAGCTAGGCGACGAGCTGTCTCCTCGTTTTTCTGTCGAGCGAGCTCGGCCTGGTGCTGCTTCCTCAGCTCCTCCTTCGATAGTTCCCCGTTGTCCGAACGAAGTGTTGCCTTGGAATAAATGACGTCCTTAGCAGAAACTCTCGACTCTGCACGTGCCTTGGGCTGCTGCTTCTCTTCTTCCTCCTCATCCTCGTTAAATGAATACGCAACGTCTTTCAACAATTTCGAGCAAGCCGACGTGACAACTTCACGGCTGTTTTCATTGACGATGACAGTGTCTGCAAGCAGCAGCGAGAAGTTCTGGCACTTTGAGTTGCTGCTCGTTTTAGCCTCCAGGTTCTGAAAACCGAGAGAGACGTTAAAAGACATCCACGCCTTCAGCACCCGATCATTCTTCGCATTCAGGCTCAGCCCTGACTCGCGGAACTCGAGCCCAATGCCGGTCCCAGCCGATTTCGTCAGGTTCGGGAGAAGCTCGGGAGCATCCCTCTTCACGACAGAGACTGCAGCATCGTAAACAGCCCTCGCTTTGTTACCAGGCTTCAATGCAAGGATGGCCGCCTCATGGGCTCGGAGGAGGACCTCGTACGCGTTGCTCTGAGTTTGGTTCGAGTCGATAAGGATTGTTCGGGCTATGTTGGAGCAATAGCTGTTGTAACGGGACCCAATGGCGCAGATGATGATGCTAGAGGAATCATAGTACAGATACTCATCATTGCTCGAGGCACTGGGCCGAAGATCGAAGCTTCCGCCACTCTGGAAGATCGGAGGGTAGCAGATATCCACGTTCTCTGCCTTGAGCTTTACGCCCACTTTGATGGGGTCGAGTATAGCTTTTTCCGTGTCCTCCATCAGCGAGGAGTGCGTCACTTTTTTCTCCTCGTCGATCACCTTCTCGACTTTTGGGACCACAAAGTTTTTCATTGCAGAGGCAGTCAAGTAGGCAGCCTTCTTTATGCAAGTGATCTCGTTCTTGTCTTTCGCGGCGAAAAGTTCGGACAACCCACTAGATATGTCGCTCAGCGTGAGACCCGAATCTTTCAACTTATCAGACCACAGCTCGAGGAGTTTGCCCTCCGGGGCTTCTCGGGAAATGTACCCGACAGTTGGGGATTCGTGATTGTCTGACTCTGAGTGTGAACGGATGGCACGGAATATGGAGTCCATATGATTGCTTCCAGTGTCGTTTTTCGGCTTAACATGCATGACTACATCCGCATTGACGGCCTCTTTAGCGGACTTTTTCACAACCTCGAGCAATGATGCTTTCTTTTGGCTGCAGAGGAAATGGATATGCTTGTCCTCGAAGACCATGATTGTCTCCGGAAATTCATAACCAAGCAACCAGATATTGAGGGCAGAGGACTTCAGGTAGCGCAGGTCTTCTGAAGGAGGTGGTGTGGCAAAAGTGAGAACATTTGAAGAGCCCCAATACTTTTCTTTGTGATTGCGCCAGTGCGCGTACAGAGCCTGCAGTCTCTTACTAAAGGTGTTCAAGTCAATCGAGTATGCATTGCCTGCAGATGTATTGCCATTCGCAGGTTGGCCATTTGGGTTGCGTTCTTCAGGCATAGTGCATCTGTTCAAAGGTTGATTGGCAATTATTAATCTACTCGTTTTATGTAAAGAAGGCATGATAAAAAAAAATAAAAGTAAAAGAAGGCTAAATAATTAAACAGGACACTGCAATTAATCTATCCTGTGGGACTTGCACAATTGGAATTTCTAGAATATACAATTCATAGCGATGCAAAATTTAAGTCTCCAACCCGAAGGCAATAATGTTCTAATAAAAGTATCCACCAAGTTTTGATTGATATTCAATCAATGTTCATGCATTCATAACTCAATGAAGCACATCAATACACCAATAAATAAATAAACACAGAGTAACCATGATACACTGATGAATTTGTGAACTACATGCTGTCAAATAATCTCAACCCTATCTGCAAGGTAGCTTACAAATTCAGAACATTTTTATATACAGATTACTATTTAAGGGGTAGCTTAAGTAACTTAAGCCACCAACTATTTGATAGGTAGCTGATAAACTTGAAACTTGTCAAAATGCCTAGCTTATTTTCCCTTGTTGCTAGGTAAGCTAATTCCTTATCAATTAGTTCATTTCAGTAGGCATAAAAAACCTTAGCCCTGATTTGGACAATTTCTAAAATAAAAATAAAAAAAAAATGTTACACTTCCAACACAAAGGACACAGATAAATCAAAACCAAACCCTAAAATCAATATATACATATATATAAATATATATCTAAATCAGTCAAATTGCACAAATAATGTATACAAGGAAACATATATTTGATAAGTGGTTGTATCATTTTGCCCAAATCCAACAAAAAAAGTGTATTGAGGGTTTCAAAATCGTAGATTTCACCGTGACCAAAACAACTCAGTCGAAAAGCTTTCAAATAATTTCGTTTAGAATTTCTAAACGACCTTCATTCAGATAAAAATTTGAGACAAAATTTGCTCCAGAAGCTCGAAAATAACGCAGAACCGAGATTCAAGCTTCAACAGAAGAGAAAGCAGATAGAAGACGGAGAAAACGATTCTCACAAATATGCAGATCTATTAGAGCTTCCGAAGCGGCGGTGGAAGTGGCTGGCTGGAGTCGGTGGAGGTGGAGGTGGAGGTGGAGGTGGAGGTGAAGGTGGCGACGGCGATAAGGCTCGCTATCGGGACGGCTGCCGGGGTAGGGTTTGGCCTTCAGAGTGCAATTGGGGAGAGAGGGAACATCAGAGCAGAAACAATTTTCGTTTTCATTTTTTGAGTCATTTCTTCGATGACTGCATGATTTTTATAGTGAATTTTTGGACATGGGCTTTAGACGATTGGGCTTAATTTGAAACGGTTCAAGGCAAGTTAATTAAAGCCTACTAGTCTTGTTGCCCCACGGGAAGTTTAAAAATCAATTATTTAAATAAGAATATCATAATTTCGTATTCTATATTATTGAATATTTTTTTTATATAATAGTATGTTTTATGCTTACAATATTTATTTTTTCTTAGAAAATAGTATATCATTCCTTTTAACTTTGTAACTCGAAACAACAACTTAATAGTGTATCGTATCTCTTCTTTAATTAAAAAAAATAAAATTAAATTATATTTGAATTTAATAAAGTGTAATAGGCATAACTTAAAAGTATATAATCGTAACTAAAGTTATAAAATAATCATCATATTGATATGCAATGCTAATTAATGCTAAAAATAATCATTGTGAGATGTAGTTATAAAAATCCATGTAATGGACATAATATTCTTGAAAAGAACACCTCATTCTATGTTTTTTAATTTATAAAATATAGGCATGTATGTGTCCTTGTTTTTTTTTCTTTTTTACTTTGAAACGGTTGTGTACTTCCGTCTGCTTGGTTCAACAATGAAGTCCGGTCCAAAAGGAAAACTTCTTCTTTCAAAATCTACTTCATGTGAATCTTCTTGATTCAAATGTTAATTTTGTTGCCCTAAGAAAAAGGAAAACAAAAATGTATTGATAATTATATTGGCCAATTTATACCCAAGTCAATGAATTATCGAAAGAATTCTAGTCATGAAATATGACTTTGAAATTCACTTCTATAAGAAAGGAACAACTTTTTGGTAAGAATTGAGAAGTTCACGATATTAACATATCCAATTTTGCTATGGAACCATCAGATGGCTCGGCTTATGGAGTCATTCACACTTATTCACCAATAGTGTAGTGACACGTGTCCTGCAATAAATACATTTTGGACAGGTGTCAATACATTAAGTGGTGGATGGCTCCATAAAAAAACCATCTGATGGCTCCATAGAATTTTTGTTAACATATCTGCATCAAACATTTGCTCTTTTTATTTGTTGAAATCGAAGACAAATATAAGAACTGTGTATATTTTCAGTACATACAAATGCAGTGAGTATAGACATAGTTATGCTTTTTAATAAATTTGGTTTCTATCCATTACTACTTCTACACTATAATAAAGATGTATGTTTTAGATTTACACCAAGCTACCCATAGTTTTATAGCCCGAAATTCGCATACATGTGGACAATTGAAGATAACATATTATCATGATAAGATAGATGCAATAATATAACTAAAATTTGAAGTAGTGAAAATTTAAAATCGTGGAATCATGATAAATGCATGAGAGGAGCACACTTCTAGATAGTTCAATAGCCTTTTATTTTGAAGTAACAACACATGTTGTCCAAATATTTATTATGTAAATAAATAAACAATATAAAAATAAGGAAGTAATTGAAAAAATAAATTTTTATCTTCCAAATTATTAAAAGTGTAATTAGAACATAAAAAACATTATGCATTTGAAAAAGGCAAAAAAATGCAGTACGAAAATTTTAATATTATAATTTCATATTTTAAAATTATTAGTAAAATTAAAATAATTGCAACTCGTTCTTATTTCAAATAAAAGTATTACGCATATAATACCTTATTTTCAATTATTTTTCCGACAACAATTGCAATTCGTTCTTAATTCAAATAATTGCTTTCGTTTTTTTTTTCAAAAACCAAACAACCTTGTTTTACTTTTTTTTTTAACGAGAAACGTTTGTTGAAGTTCTTTCTTCTTCGAAAATACCTCGTGATAAACCTCACAAACTTTCTTTTAATGGATCCCGCGTGTTTCCCACTTAATTTATATATCAAATTAATTCATATTTACTAAAAACTTTACTCATTATTTTTTACAGTGACATATTTATTATGTTTCATAATAAATATATTTTATGTATACTTAAAATTTTTTAAAAAAATTAACACTAAAATTTGCAATAGTGAAAATTAAAATTGTAGGAAACAAATTTATAAGAATTTATTAAAATAAACAGCTAAATTATTTTTTTAGTAAACATATCAAATATTTAACAATAATTAGTCGTGAGTAGGTTTAACATAATATTTACCTGTTCTTAATGATATTTAATTTTAAGTTTTCTTAATATTAAAAATAAATCAAGATTCATAAACTAAAACATACTCAAACATGATTTAATATATAATTTAAAGTAAAAAATGAAAAAGGATAAAAAATGACATGGCCAATATAAATAATTGTTGTGTGTATTGAAAGGGGCCGCCAAAATTTCAAAATCCGGTGTCGCAATTACAACGCTGCTTTAAAAACTCAAACCTCTCACTCCCTTTATGACTAATTACAACGCTGCTTTAAAAACTCAAACCTCTCACTCCCTTTCTTTAGTCATAACACTGGCAGCATAAGGTTTATAAACCTTATCAAAAGCTGCCTTTAGTTTTCTGATCTCCAGACCCACCGCAGCCTCTACATATCTGCTTCGAACATTTGCTCTTTCAATTTGTTGAAATGAAATTGAAGACAAATATCAGAACTGTGTATTTTCAGTACATTCAAAGGCAGTGAATATTGTTCTGCTTTTTAATAAATCTATTGTTGCACTTGCACGTCTATTGTAGTTGCAGTACGAATTTCTTGATTTATATTAGTTGTCTTTCCACTCAAAACATTAAATTATTATATGTAATTAAACCGACGATGTAATTTAATAACTTACAAATCATTCAAGAAACTTTGAGAAAAATACAGGTCTAACGCAAACTACTTTTTTTTTTCTTTTTTTGGCAAAATAAATGTCGACATCATGTGTCAAAGGAGGCCTCTACAAAGCTAAATTCAAACTCCAATCGACAGTTCGTGGCACTAACCATAACAACAGTACTTAATATATGTAGATGAAACTTTATCAACTATTTAACTAGACCAACACATTATGTGATTTACAGTCTGAACTAATCAAATAAGGTAAACATATGCACGCCAAACGGTTCACAGCAGAATGCATACCACTTCAAGAACATACCAACTCAAAAGTTCTGCAACACAGTGAAACATTTCTTAATTCTTATTTATATTCCAAAGTACCATCCATAATCCACTCAGAAAAGCCTACAGAAGTTCGGCTTTCGGCTACACCCAGAAATAAATTCAAATGGTTTTATCCCATCACAAGAGCTATTATCATCCAGATGATAACTAATACGAAAGGAAACAATGCAAAACGGGAAAGGTATCAGCTCAATGGCCTTGTCCCGTGACCGAGCAAATGAAGTAAGTAGTGATACTTTCATCTGCAGAGTAAAATTAGTATAAGAACCAAATGGCATTGAATAACCAGGGATTATTGAAAATCTGTGCAATTAGAAAAGCTTTATCCAGATGCATTAAATATATATGATCAATCGAGATAACTAATTTTAAGCTAACTCATATATATCATAAACGTGCAAGCAATCATTAATATTCACCACCTGCAGACTAATAATGTCACATTCATTTAGATCCTTCAGTTCTAAAGTAGGATAAGCTAAGGTAGGTGTCTCGTTGGTGTTTTTAATCTATAAATATAAGGATCAAGAAACCAAGGCCATAAGAGATTGAACATGACAATAATTTCTCTAAATGCAAAAAGCAACGGGAACAGGTAGACCCAATATAAAATCATTGACACGTTTATTTAACGTTGAAAGAATATTTGAAACACAGTCCAGCAGTCCACCATGCCTTAGTTACGAGCCAATTTGCTAAAATTGAAATCCAGTAAATATACACCAGTATACAGATGATGCACTCGTAAGCTTCAAAAGTATTAGAAAGATTTCGCAGGTACTCAACAACTTAATACGAAACAGCCACGCACAAAACTCATTTTCAGTGAATGTTACATGGTTTAAATATGCTGCAACAAAGAGAGATGTTTATCCATAACAATGCTAGAAAGAACAAAGTTGCAACCACCAAACACACCTCATTAGCCCAAATAATGATAAATAGTCAAACTAGTTTATTTTATGACAAACACAAAGACCCACCCTTCATAGATCACCAATTAAAATACGGGAAACGCCTAAAATAGAGAAGGTGGGTTGGATTAAAAGAGCACTTCAATTATGAATGATGAAATAATAAAATAAATCTTCAAGAATTCTCAATTCGTCAATATTTTGCCTCCTTTAAGAGAAAGAACAAATATGAACCAATACCATTACAAATGTTTTTCCATGATTAATAAGAAATATGAGATTGGCATCCACAACTAGTTCTGAAATTGAGCCTCGGTGAAACACAGAAAATAAAATGAACAAATACATTAATTATCTATCTACCTACTTACCTAACAAATAACTTGTCAAAAAACATGAACTCCATGTTTATAGTTGTAGCATTCACCCGGTCAAAACACTAAATTGAAGCTAAGCACCCAACTAGAGGATTACCTAACTCTAAAGCCACTGGACTCTAATAGCTTACAAGATTGGCACCAAAAGGAAGCATAAGATAGGCTTACCCTCGTTGACTGATGCAAAATGGATTTGAAAAAACATTAAAATCAGTGATATTACCAGAAGTGGCACACCATGATACTGTCTATAACTGTGATGTCGGGCAATTCACATCAACCACATGGAAAGCAAAAAAAAAATGTAATGCGCCTACATTTTTAAACTGGAAAATCAGTGACCATTTGTTTATCAAGAAACTGTAAACTAGGCAAATCATCTCACATCAGTAAACAATTCCCATAAAAACGACCAAAGGCTGATACACAAAAGCAGATTCAAACACATAACAACACCCAACAAACAGGATCATCAAATACCCATCAAAACAAAAGCTACTAGTCGGGCAATCAATAACATACAAATCTATAAGCACAACTCAGAAAGAAAAAATAAATAAATTCTGGATCCATCCACCACTGATAACAACCTCTAGGGTTCGCAATCAACATAAAACGAATCGGAAACTCACTTCTTGTGCCTCTGCACAAAGGGGGAGTTCTTCGCGTCCTCCTCTGTGAAAAAAAACAGTAAAATCAGTAATGAAAAAAACAAAGGGAACAACATGTGCGTATGAAACAAGAAATCGGGGGGGAAAACCAACCGGTGAGGCCGAGAGAGAACTTGGTGATGATGGCCCCGGTAACAGCGAACCCGACGAGGAAAGGCCAGTTGCGATTCCACTCTCTCTTGAAGAACACCGGCCATGGATCGAATTTCCTCATCTCAGCAATGGATTTGTAGTTTTCACTCTTTCTTCTTTTCCTTTTTTTTTTTCGTAAAATTATGAACAGACGAGACTGAAAGTCATTTTGTAGGGCAGTGAGCTGAGGTTATGGGCCGAAGGGTTTGGGCTGTACGTTGTGGGCTGTCAGTCAGCTGAACATTGTTGATTTCATATTTGATGTGATACACATATATGGTTTGGGCCCATGTATTGATTGGCGTTTTTTAATTTTTTAATCAAACCATAGAAATACTCGTAAAACACCACAAGGGTAAAATTAGAGATGTTAGATGGTCTTTGGCCCGACAGGCCGGCCCGTTTAGTCAAATAAATAGGGTTAGGATCTTTTATTGGTAGTCCATTTAAATCAGGGCTTTTTTTAGCCCCTAACCATTTAGCCCGAAGTCCGCTAGGGCTGACCCTTTTAACAATGGTTTGGCGGTGTAAATATTGGCATCAAATAAATATATGCTCTTAGATTCTTTGTATATTACAAATAAGTATGAGTTGTAATGGATTATTATGATTTTGAAAGATAATTGTTAACAATATTGTAATGTGTGTTCATATATGATGTGTAATTATATATATAGATTGGTAATTACTAAATAGTCGTTGAAAACAATCGTTAACTAACCGTTGTATTTTTTTATATTTATTATTATTATTATTATTATTTATATATTATTATTATTATAGCCCGCATAGCCCGTTCAGCTCGAAGTCCGCTAGGGTTAGGTTCCTTTTATTGGTAGCTCGTTTAAATTCAGACTTTTTAAACTCGGACTGCTTAGCCCGAAGCCCGCTATAGCTAGCCCATTTAACATGTCTAGGTAAAATGTACATAAGGGATGCACCCCTAAGAGCAACTCCAACCGATTCCAATACTCAAACGCAAACAGATAATTTGCTCCAATCGATACTCAAAACCAAACGCAAAATGCGTTTGAGACACTTTTCTCTCTCCTCTCACCTCAAATATGCGTCTGCACTGTTGATGAACGCATAATTTTGTTGTTCACTATAAATTTGTCCTTTATTTTTAGATAATTACATTTATAGCCATAGAAACATTTATGACCTCTTTAAGCTAGTTTTTTAAACAATAAAATAAAGATAAAAAATTGATAGACCAAAAAATGTTTATCAAATATTATGTACCATTAAATTAACAAAAAGTATCCAAGTGATTTAATAATATAAAAAATTTGAGAAACATTGTTGGTCTAAATTAATAAAACAAGCTAGTTCTACTTTGAATTTTCAATTACTAAATACATATTAATTTCAAAGTTTGGTTTATATATACATGTGCTATAGATGATAGTTAATTAGGATAATATTTTTAAAATATTCTTTAGAAAATGAGAGTAATTTTAAAATTTGCTAATAAGAAAATGAACTCTACATGGTTGAACTTAAAAAAGAAAGAAGCCATTAATACTAGCAACTAAATTTATAAGTTTTTTAAACATGAGGTATTATTGAATAACTATTAAAAGAAAATATTTCGTTAATAAGCCAATATTTTTTTTTATCTGTATGAATTATTAATTTTTACTTTTTAGTAAATTTATTATATATTGTTCAAATAGAATATAAAATTATAGTGGGTCTAATTTGTAAAGTTGTAAAATATATTGGTAGTATTGAAAAATATAAAAGTTGATGGGAACGAGAATATTTTGGGAATATTCTTTTGAGTTTGAGAATGAGTTTGTCGGTTGGAGAAGAATTAGTGTTTGATGTGACAGTTACTGCAAAATGGGTTTGAGAATGAGTTTTTCGGTTGGAGATGGTCTAAACAGCCTGGATACATGAGGGTATTACACCAAAATGTAGCTTATACATCCAACCAACAAAGTGCAATGAAGGCAGTCACATGTCGACTGGAAAGCTTCACTATCACCCAACAAACAAACACACAATTACAGACTAAAGAAAAACAAAAAACTGAAAGCTTCCTCCACGACTTTCCCAAGACCTAGCAAAGTTCTTCTTTTAGATCAACAATGACTAGAGACATGTCCCCACTTGAATTCATGCCAATCACGCATCCACAACCGATTTATTAATCAAGTGTTCATGCCTCCAAATCCTCTCAAACACCCCCATATTCCTTGCTTTCCACAACCACCATAAGATATAGGTAGGTAGTTGGATTCTATTTTCACAAGTTTCAGATGAAGTCAAAGAGGAGATCCACTACCACCATTCTTTAAAGATCATTGGTTGTAAATGTAAAACTCTTTCTTTTGAGGATGAGACAATTTGGGTTGTGGCTTTATCAACTTTATTGATTCGACATTCATACACATGAGAGATCGTATATCTTCTACGAAAAGATACGAAGAGAGATTGACAAGAATGGTTATTTGTCGATAAGGGGGATCGACAGATTCGATCAACGTTGCTTCCTGGTCATTCACGTGTTATATGAGTCGTTTGTGTTTGAACTTTTTGTCTTCAACTGGCCATATCATATCTTGAAAAATTTGGGTACAATAATTCAAAAGGCAAAATCTTGAAAAGACTAGGCAAGTGACAACTCAAAACAATTTAGGCATTTTCATAAAACATACTACCTACATTTATTTTTATAAACGTCATTTTGGCTTTATCAACAATTAACTAAATAAATGACGTTTTGGATCTTTTGTACATATTTTTTCATTATTACCCTTATTTAGCTAATAAATATCTTTTCATATCTACTTTTCATCTTTCTCAAAACATCCATCCATATCCTCATTAATGAGGGTTATTATTAAAAAAATATTCTTAACTACTGTGCAACTTCTCAAAACGACATCTATATATATATAAAAAGATTTGATTATTTTTTAAATAGTAACTATTTCCCTCCAAAAAAATCTATTTACTATTTTAAGAAATTAATTTAACAATTTATGGTATATTTCAAATAATCACTTATGGAAACTGCGGCTCATTATTTAAGGAAATGATATAAGCCATAATAAATTATTTAAGATACCTTAATCCATAGTTTTTAAACCCGGCCCGGTGATCGACCCGGGCAGGTCCTCGGGTCACCGGGTCACCGCTTCAACCGTCGGGTCACCGGGTCAATTGCTGAACCGGATAATTAATTTTAAAATTTTTTAAAATTATATATATAGTATTTTTGTTATATAAATATACATAAAAGTAACAAAATTAAATGTTTTGTGTATAAAATTTGTATATTAAAGTGTTAATAATATGTATTTCATGATAAATATTTACCATAAAAACATATATACATAGTTTTATTTTAAAAAAATATAAAAAAATATAAAAAAATATAAAAAAATATAAAAAATATATATGGACCGGGTCAACTGGGTTGACCCGGCCGGGTCAATGTCCCGAGTCGACCGGGTCTCGGCCGGGTCGGCCGGGTTTTGACCGGGTCCTTGGTTGCCCGGTCCAAATACTCTACCCGGACCGGTTCCAGCTCCGGGTCGACCGGGTCCCGGGTCGACCCGCCGGGCCGGTCCGGGTCACAAAACAGTGCCTTAATCACTTAAATCATGTGAATTTAGATGATTTACCTAAATATGAGAATTTCGGCTGCAATATCACTTTTGTGATTTGGGAAAAATCTTCCAACTAAATTGTGTAATTAATTATTTAATAAGTGTTTTATATTTTTGTGTAATCATTTTTAATTATTCTTTTCGTGTAAAAATTTTAAAATGACACATATTTCGAAATGAATATAAAGTAATTTATTATTAATTATTTGCACCGTACGGGTCGTGCACCAATTTTAAATAGACATATTTAATGTAATTTTGCACAATTTATATTTCATATAACATTTTCAACAAATTAATATAGGTAAGTTGTATTACATAATGATTCTATATTTTTAATTTATAATAATGAACATTTTTAGTTTATAAAGATTAAAGAATATTTTTTATCCGTACATCGCATGAGATTCGTACTAGTTTATTAAAAAAAAGGAGGGAGTATTAGTTTTAGAAGTATATATTATTGTAACTTTAATTATGACATTCGTAACTATAATTTTTTAGATAAGTTATGAACTATTAAATAAAAAAATTATGAGATATTTTAGGGCTAAGGCTATTCACTCATACTTCATCTGAACTTATTTATTTGATTGGAATGAAAAAATAAAAAAATAAAAAAAAAATAGGAAGGTCAAAGTAGAAAAATGGAACCGTAAAACCTAAAAAGTTTTGTAGCCGTTCTTTTCCCCCACGAAAATCTCGGACTCACTCTTTTTGGCCGCCATCAAAATTCCCAAAGCCTCTCCTTTCAAATTTCAAATTTCGAAACTCCAATTTATAGCCGTTCTCTCTATCCCTTTACATATATACCTTTCATCTCCAACCCCACAGGCCCACACCCAAAACACACCTTAATTCCCCATCTCCATTTTCTCAGTTTCTCTCTCACCACCCCTCTCTCTATCTGTGTGTGTTCATCCAAAAGCGAACGAGAAAAACAAACAAAACCCCAAAAAAATTCAACCCCAAAATGCGTGAAATTCTCCACATTCAGGGCGGCCAGTGCGGAAACCAGATCGGCTCCAAATTCTGGGAGGTCGTGTGCGCCGAGCACGGCATCGACGCCACAGGCCGCTACCATGGCGACTCGGAACTCCAGCTTGAGAGGGTCAACGTCTACTACAACGAGGCCAGCGGCGGCCGATTTGTCCCCCGCGCAGTGCTCATGGACCTCGAGCCCGGGGTCATGGACAGCCTCCGGTCTGGGCCCTACGGCCAGATCTTCAGGCCCGATAATTTCGTGTTCGGGCAGTCTGGGGCCGGGAACAATTGGGCGAAAGGGCATTACACGGAGGGTGCCGAGCTGATTGATTCGGTCCTTGATGTTGTCAGGAAGGAGGCTGAGAACTGCGATTGCCTGCAAGGTATTTGATAAAATTTCCCTATAGGTGTTGTTCTTTGATTTTAATGTCTCGGATGATTAATGTTTTTCTTATTGTCTGTGTTGGGAGTGATTGTTCTCCCCGAATCCAATCGTGTGTCTGGCCTTTTTTCTTTCCCGAACGCGTACTTTGCTTGGGAGAACTTGTTTGAATATACATGTTAATTGGAGCTTGATTTATGTGTAGCTGTGGTTTGATTAATTGTTGTGGTTTCTGTTTTCTCACATAATTCGACTGTGTTTTAGCCTTTTTTTCCCATAAACTTTTGAACTTTACTAAATTTTACCTAATTCTTCTTACACATAGTTTGCTCAGGAGAACTTGTTTGAATAATTGTCGTGGTTACTGTATTCTCACATAATTCAATTGCGTGTTTAGCCTTTTTTCTCCCCATAAAGATTTGGACTTTACTAATTTTTACCTAATTCTCCTTATACATAGTTTGCTCAGGAGAAGTTGTTTGAACATACATGTGAATGTCGATGCATTTTTGTGTTCTTACATGCAATAATTATAAATGTTATGCAGGTTTTCAAGTGTGCCATTCATTGGGAGGTGGGACCGGGTCCGGGATGGGTACATTGTTGATCTCGAAAATAAGAGAGGAATATCCGGACAGGATGATGCTCACATTCTCGGTTTTCCCATCGCCCAAAGTTTCTGACACGGTTGTGGAGCCTTATAATGCAACATTATCTGTTCATCAGCTTGTTGAGAATGCAGATGAGTGTATGGTTCTTGATAATGAGGCCCTTTACGACATTTGCTTCAGGACACTTAAGCTCACAACTCCCAGTTGTAAGTCCCCTTAAATCTATTCCTTCTGGTAAAGGCTTTCGTGTGCAGTGATTTGCAACTAAATATTGCCAATAATGTTTTTGTCATGTCTGATGCAACTAAAAGCTGTATTCTCGAACCCAAATCTCTCCCTAACATGACGAAACGAGTCATGTTTAAAATGTTTTGCTGATTCTGCTATGGATTTTCAAGTGGATTTTGTAGAAATTATGACATATATCATGGGTGGTAATTCATGTAAGTGAAAAAATCAAGCAACCCTCGTCATGAAAATGCAAGATTTATCAAAACGAGTCATTTTTCTTTAAATGTTTTGCGGATTGTGCTACGCTTTTCAAGTCGATTTTGCAAATGATGCTCAAATTATCTCTTCTTTCCCCTTTTAACTTTGTAGAAATTATGACACATATCATGGATGACACAAATTCATGCTGTGAAAAAATCGAGCAACCCTCATCACAAAAATGCAAGATTTATCGAAACGAGTCGTTTTTGTAGATGTTTTTCGTATTGTGCTACGACTTTTCAAGTGGATTTTGCAAATGATGCTCAAATTATAGAAAATCATCGATGGCAATTCATGTAGTGAAAATCGAGCAACCCTCATAACGTGAATGTCCGGTGTTGGCGACTTAATTTTTTTTTTTTTTTTTTTGCGTTCTAAACAACAACCCGTCTTCGCTAATTTTTTTCCATTCTTACAACACACAGTTGGCGACTTGAACCACCTGATCTCCGCAACCATGTCCGGAGTCACTTGCTGCCTCCGATTCCCGGGCCAACTCAACTCCGACCTCCGAAAACTCGCGGTGAACCTAATTCCATTCCCTCGACTCCACTTCTTCATGGTGGGCTTCGCCCCACTCACCTCTCGCGGGTCCCAACAGTACCGAGCCCTAACAGTCCCCGAGCTAACCCAACAAATGTGGGACGCGAAAAACATGATGTGCGCAGCCGATCCACGTCATGGCCGTTATTTGACAGCTTCAGCAATTTACCGAGGGAAAATGAGCACTAAGGAAGTAGACGAGCAGATGCTGAACGTGCAGAACAAGAACTCTTCTTATTTTGTTGAGTGGATTCCGAACAACGTGAAGTCGACTGTTTGTGATATACCGCCGATTGGGCTGAAGATGGCGTCGACTTTCGTGGGGAACTCGACTTCGATTCAGGAGATGTTTCGGAGGGTGAGTGAGCAGTTCACGGCTATGTTTAGGAGGAAGGCGTTTTTGCATTGGTATACTGGAGAAGGTATGGATGAGATGGAGTTTACGGAGGCTGAGAGTAATATGAATGATTTGGTGGCTGAGTATCAGCAGTATCAGGAGGCGACTGCGGATGAGGAAGGAGAGTATGAGGAAGGAGAGTACNTTTTGGGATTCTGTGGATGTAATCTCTACTTCCAGTAGCTCTGAAAAATTAGCTTTGTTTTTTTTTACTTGAATTATTGTTGGTGTTATTTTGTTGCAGACCTTTGGAGTTTCTGTTTAGAGTTCTTCTAATGGTAATTTTGGTATTGGTTATGGATTTACTGTGCTATTCATTGTTTAATGTTCTTCATTCTTCTAATGTTTTCATTTGAACTATTGTTAGTGTCATTTTCCTTTTTAGCAAATTTGTTAGTGTCACTTGTGCTAATGTTTTCATTTGAATTATTGTTAGTGTCATTTTGTGTAGACCTTGAGTTTTGTTCAGTATTATTCTAATGATAATTTTGGTATTTGGTTATCTTGGATTTACTGTGCTCTTCATCGTTTTAATGTTCAAACCGTTTCATTGTTTTAATGTTCTATTCGGCATTCTTCTATTGTTAAGCATTCTGGAAAACTTGATTATTCCAATTTCTATTTTTCTATGTTGTTTACTTATTTTTGTTTTTTGTTTTTTTTTTTCCCCACAATCGAATGGGAAATGTGAGATGATGAACGTTCATTGAACACATAAGTTTTGTGCATTATTTTACACGTGTACATGTACAAAAAAGCATTATGTAAAACATTATGTAATAATTCCAAAGATGTTTGATGAGCAATATCAAAAAAGTTGCACTTTTACAAAAAAATAATCATCAATAAACATGTAAAGATCTTTTTGTCAATAACCAAATGATAATTTTTTTTCCCAATTTGTAAAAACTATACATATAAAAACTATAAAATGAAATGGTAGAACATGAATAAAGAAAATATATAAAGATTCGACATGAACAAAAACTATTTTAGCATTTCCAAAACCACAACCGCAAGAACAAAACATGAAAATATTTGATTTACAATGTGTTAAAAAAATATTTGTTTTTACAGTGACAATCAAATAGTACAATGAGGAAAAAAATAAAATAAAATTAAGCCAACTACATCACTAATTTAATCCACTTTCCACTGGATCACCAAGCAAGGAGGATTCCATGTAGGATTGTTCCTACAAAATTATGCCGAAAATAGAAGGAAAACATATTGATTTAAAAAAAAAAAAACTTATATTTACTTTGCCCGCAATTTAAGATAAATTTCAATTTCACCCCAACCCATGGGCTCTATCCCCTGGGGTATTAGTATTAGCCGTTGGATCAGCATTAGCATAATGAAGTTTTCTAGATAATTTATGGCTAGTTTTCTGTGCTGATCTTTTGCTCTTTTATCCAAAGACTAAAGAAAATGGAGTTTTCTAGATGTCCTTTCCATTATTATTAAGTTAATAAGGCTGATATTAAGTTAATAAGGCTGACTAAGCTCTACAGATTTTTACATTAGCTTAATGAAGTTACAAGGCAAAAACTAAGCCATGTATGTGCTTAAGTAATTCTTATAACCAAGAGAGTCTTGAGATTAATTTTTCAGGACTATCAATCATTTAACAAGTCAAAGGATACCCTATTTTTTTACCAAACAAATTAAAAAAAGCCAATATTTTAATAAAAATAAAAGAACTCAGGCCTCCACCTTTTCTTTTTCAATTATTTATATAATTCATACGCCTTGAACCCTTAATTTTACCAGGAATATAGAAACTCATGATAGCTTACTCAAGACTAATGGTGAAACAACATTAAACCATTATGACGCAGAAATACTTCATTGACATTGTTAAGGCAAAACCTTGTTCAGCTTACCTACACTCAGTATCATTAATTAATGTTAGCGTAAATTCACTCGAAATCTCTTTCTACAACGAACTACATAAAATAATGTGTCAAAATTATCATCCTATGGAAGATCAACTACACACAAAATAGACCCGACTCTTAAATTGTACAAAATTATTAACCTATGGTCCTAAGTCATGAGTTGAAGCCTGAAGAATTAAGGTTCAAATAGAATGCGGAATAATTGATCCGCTATAAGGTTCCAGCCACGTTTGCAAGCAACTAACCTTATTTTTCTTAAACAGCAAGCCAAAAACTACACGCTCGATCCACTCAAAGTCCAACAACAAAACTCATCAATCTCCATGTACTAAATCATTATAGAGAACAATGTACACAGAACCTTCTAAATTTCTTGAGAAACACAATTGATCTCTGGTTATCCATCCCAGTGATTCCATGAGAAATTCTTCGAGGCACGACATAGTCAAAATATCAAATAAGTAATTCCCTTTTCACTTTCTAATGTTCATAATCTCATCAAGTTTAGAACTTTTGACTTGCAAAATTATCCCTGATTATCCCTTACTAAGTATATGGTTTGAAGCTCAACTTTTTTATTCTCAAATTTATAGATAACAAACTGTGGATACTCATATAGGCATCATATACCCTAAAACTTTAACTAACCTCAAATATTTACATCAGTAATCAGTAATATAATTAAAGATGAAGGTATAATAATAAAAAAACAAATTAAAACAAAATTGCTTTCAGACAAACTCTGCTAACCATATCCTTACCCCCAATTGAATATTGAGCTAACCATCCAGCTAAGTTCATCCATTTTTCTGTTTCTGCTTCCCAAAGAAAAGACAGTCGAACTGAATTATACAGAAATTTCCAACCAAAAAACAAACAGCTTTCAAACCTCAAGCTTATGAATGAATCAATAGGAAGAGGAATTTGGTCTTAAATAACAAAGTAAAATAATAAATAGCACTGGATGAAAAAGAAATGGAAATTATCCCAATTCTTTATGATAACCAACTCTCAGAGTAACTCGCATAGTGATCAATACTAATCACTTCACACACCATGTTGTTACAATCTATTAGAAAAATCACAAGAGTTCCCCCAGATATTAAACACAAACTCTGAACTCATCACAGTCCACTTTACCCAATTCAATCCATTCTCACTGTTCAATCGAACGAGCCAACTAGGTATTCTTTTGTCCTCAACAAGAAGCCATAATTGACAAACACGACCAAATTGTTCTTACAGGACAGTTGAATTTCAGCTGAAACAGCACCAAATACAGTAAATAATGAAAACCCACATTTTCTGGAGCACTTTTCTAGACTACAGGAACTTTGGCAGCCTATACTAACCAAAATACTATTGAAAGGCATTCCTCAAGAAAAGAGTTCTACTGCTTGCTGAACTTAATAAATTATCTGAGTGTACTGCTCTCAAATAACTGATATAGAAGCCAATGGAAATTCACTCAATATACTGGACCATATTCATTTGGTCAGTGATAAGCAACAGCTATATATATATACTTTTTAAGCAGAAAACATTCAAGAAAAAACCTACTTTTCACATTCTCAAAAATCTTTAGAAGGGAGATTCTAGCAATAGTATATTTTTCTTCAAGGGATAACTCCCTACAAGACTAGACAAATTCCAGATGACATTAATCGGTGCCAAGCATGCTATATTGCCAGATCTTCATTAGCTATCCTCTTTATCCTCATCATCTACTCTAGATGTTCTAGAAAGACGAATATCCCACAGGAACCATATGCCAAGTATAGAAAATTTGTAGAATCATACAAGACTAGCCTATATGTAGCACATCTGCACAAAGCCTGCCTACTCGTAAAAACTACATCTGCACCAGCTCTTGAAGATTAGGTGGAACCTTAAGGTGGGTGACTAAGTTAAATATGTTCACCTAACCTAACGTCAGAGCTGCACGACTTATTTTCAATCTATAAATTCAAAATGAAAATCTTGTCACTGTTGGTACATATCCCCAAATTATCATCCACCACCCCAGTAGCATTATTGTCTGCATGATCAATCCAGCAAACAGCAAACATTGCCCCAGGCTGAGACTAGTAACAAATACTTTAAAATTCATACGGTATTCACCATTTTGTTGAGTAAAATAGTATGAAATTTGTAGTTTCTGTTCTCTGCTAGTATTTCCAAGAGTATCACCTATTGTAAATTATGTCATCCATAACGGCTACCACAACCAGATTAACCATTAGTCTGTGGTCAATGAAATCTAAATGGCCAATTGTAGAAAGCCTAGAGTTTGAATTATTCTATTAAAGATAAACAATGTCCAATAATTGTCCGGTTCGTCAAGTGCATCCATCATAAGATATTGAATAATAATCCCAACATTGTCCAAACATAGTTACTTGAAATCCCATTTAAACTGATATTTCAAGTTGATGCAGCTTTCCATTTGTCCCCATCCCAGGCATAGTTAAACAGTTGATAATGATCTACAGGCCACCTAATCAGCCTCCAAAGAAATAGGTAGAAAGATAGGTGAACCATAACTATGAATTTTGGGAGAACAGAGGAAAAAGAAAAGAAAAGAAAATGAAAGCATAATGTTAACAGCCAAACATGCAATTGGACCCAAGTGGCCACTAATCGGCTTTTGGCTATAAATACTAAATATGCTGTACAATGGTAATAGGTGACAAGGAACAGACCTCAACTTTAGTCCAAAAACACCATAAAACTAAAGTACTTAAAGAGCAAAAGTAAATCCCACGGGTATCATCACCTCATGAAGAAGAACAACAATAACCAGAACACCGTATCCTACAGTGATGGCATCCAACGTATCAGAGAGATATTGTTCCTCAGTTTC